GAAAGAAAGAAAGAAAGAAAGAAAGAAAGAAAGAAAGAAAGACTGCACACAGACACATGTACAGAATGCTCCAACAACCCCTCCCCAATTTTTCAGGTTATCAAAGAAGTAATTTAATATATTGAGTTTAATAATGTTTTAATAGAGGTTATGAATAAGACAATAGGAAGGTTGCCTATAAACCAGGCCAGCACTACATACCTCAAGATGAACAGCCCTGCACTTTGACAACTCATAAGCAGGATATGATTGTCCTATATCAGTTTTGTTCCCCTGGAGCTGGTCCTGCCCAATTATCCTGCCCTCTGCAGTATGGATATCTGGAGGTTGCACCTGTGCCTTCTGAACTCCTGGAACCTCCTACCATCGAAACTCTACATAGTTACAGATTGTGAAGGTTCACCCTTGCAAAAGAATACTAATTAGTCCTTTTGCTTTGAAACTACTATTACTGTTGACAATTGACCATTTCCCTCTTTCTGAATATCTCCAATTGGTTTTTTAATTTTCTAAATGCAAGTGAGAGAATTAAGATTGTATATGTCCCGGTGGGTTGTACTTGAAGGACTTGGAAGAAAAAGTCTGTTCTGACGGATGTGGGATTTTATCTTTTTTTCCTCTCACCATTAGAATACATAGGGAAACAATGGATAAAGCATATGAGGGTTGTTGCATTGAATGAAACTGATGAATGTTATAGAAAAACATGTTCCTTTGCTGTAATTGCAAATGCAATTCCATTTGCTTGTAAGCATGCAAATAAAATCATGTTATACCTTACAAGTGATTTGGTTGCTTTAGATTAGTCAGGTTTTGGCCACAACAGTTGTCACATCTTTTTTCACTTGAACTGGAATTGGGATAAGAAATCCCATTATTTGTGTTGAGATAATCCATTCCCTATTGAACTAAAAAAGAGGCTTTTAACTGCTATTGCTATCTTCCACTAGTCCAAGTAATTCACCATGAGATAGAGGAAGGAAGTGGTCACTACAATGAACTGCCTATTTTTCTATGAGTAGTAGCATTTGTAAAAGTCCATTCCATTGGGATTGATTGTTCAGACACTTTTATATCATAAAAGTGAAATAAAAGCACCTAAGGTCAGGACAAGAAGCAATGGGTGGAAACTAATCAAGGAGAGAAGCAACCTAGAACTAAGGAGAAATTTCCTGACAGAACAATTAATCAGTGGAACAACTTGCCTCCAGAAGTTGGGAATGCTCCAACACTTATCCAACCATTATATGTCTGGAATAGTATAAGGCTTCTTGCCTGAGCAGTGGATTGGATTAGAATACCTCCAAGGTTCCTTCCAACTCTGTTATTCTGTATATCATCAGTCTCTGTCTTCAAAATGTAGTGTTTTCCTAAGATAACATTTGTGATTCTTAGAATTTTAAAGTTATTTTTAAATGAATTTGTGGAATCTAACAATTTTGATATGAGTAAAGAGTTATTGTGGATGGGGGCAAGTATACATATTATATTAGTATGGTTAAATAAACCCATAGATTTCAGCTTGCTTTTTGTCATTGGTAGCTGAATCATAAAGTCAAACTCCACTAAAAGAGTATTTTGTCTTGCTGCAGAACTGGAGAATCAAGAATCCAGAATTTCAGAAATCCATAGCTTAGTGCATCGACTTCCAGAGAAAAATAGACAGATGCTCCATTTACTCATGAATCACTTGGCAAAGTAAGTATCCTGTTTTTTTAATAAACCCTTTGCTTTGCTACTGGTTTCAAGTGGAAAAGAGGTAACTGTTCCCAGATCTCCAGCTCTGTTGTCTTGGTAAAGGGGGTAGGTTTCCCAGTCATTTCCTGGCATGACCAAGAAGTAATTCAATCAAATTAGTATTGATGATCCACAATACTTTTCCTAGGAATTATTTTATTAGAGCAGCTGCTTGTATTGAAGAACTTAAGCTTCTCTTAATACCAAAGTTGGAATCTCCATATGGTACTTCTCCAGGCTCTTTGCAATTGACATCAAATATATTTGTGGTATTAGACAGTTATTTTGTGAGGATAAAAAAGTCAAGGTTGCTTTCCTTATTTTTGGAAAAACTTTCATCCTGTAAGACACTATAAATTACAGCGATTTCACAAAATTGGGCAATCATAGAAAACGGGTACAGCATTTTTACCTCACAGACTGCTGCTAAAGGCAGAATAAGTGTGATTTGTACTATATTGATCTAGAAGGAAGCATAATATAAATTAGATGGAAGGAAGGATGAATGGCTGATAAACAGTCAGATGAAAACTCAGTTTAACTGTTCAGCCTCTCTATAGTAGCACTGTAAAGCACCAACATATGTAATGACACTTGGGCAGTTTTCACTTGGTTTGCTTGGCATCTGAGCAATATTGAACCTGTTTGGAAGGGAGACATATGGAAAATATCAGTATTTTAGTGTACAAATTTGAAGAAAAATCCAGAAGGCGGTGGCAATCCATACTCTTATTGCTGCCAGGATAACTCCATAAATGTATCCATGTGGGAATCAAAAGTTGAGTTTTACTTTTGACTTTATCTTTATTGATGTACTAATCCTGCAAGGTAAGGTAAAGGGGGAAGGGAAGGTCTCATGCTTTCTGAGACAAAATCAAACTTGATATAAAGGGTGCTGAACTTAAATAAAAATGCATCTCTTTTGTTCCTCTATGAATAATTCTATGTATTTTGCTCTCCTAAGGTGCTATTGTTCACCATGGGCTTCTTGAATTCCTCCTTCCCTAATTAACAACTGCTTTGGGGTGATTTAACTTCATAGAAGAGTAGTTGTGAGGGAGAAGGATTGTTCTGTGACAGTGTCCCAATACATTTGTTCCACTTGGGGGCTTGAACTGAATTTAATCTTTCTTTTAAAATGGTGAAAGAAAGATTGCAACCTTGTGAGGCTCCATACAGATCTGTGTGCATGTACCAAAGGAGTAGAACTTGTGTCTTTCATTGTCATTTGGTTGGTTTTGTCATTTGGCTTCTCTCAGATATTTTTGCCTAAACCCACAAAGTGTCAGCGATATATTCACATTATATCTACCAGTTAAAAATTTGAACTAGGACTAAGTAGATTCAGTCTGAAATTCAGACACAGATGGAGACCTATTTGTTTCTTTATTTTTTGGAAAGTAAAGCAAACAAATGGCCTTTCTGTATATCACTAAGACTGGAAATAAGAATACAATCCTTTAATAAATCCTTAATAAACCAACTCTGCTTTGTGCTCCAGTTTCTACAATGTGAATGTTTCCCACCAATTCCTACTATTTATAGTAGATAGCTCTATTGCTCAGTTCAGATGACTATTTATGTTGCTATTTGCTGGTCCAGGGTACTCTCTGAAATCCAGTATTGCCTGGAAATTCCAACTTCAGTCTTTTAACATATCATGCTAGTTAATTGCGCTTTGATGTATGTGTGTATGTGTATGGACCATTTGAGTAAAATCAGTGTTTTAATATAAATATAAATGGAAATGTATAAAAATCAAAATTGCACAAACAAGTTGGGGAACAAACAATATTTTCATATTTCCACAAAGGCAAAGTTGGGTGCCATGACGAAAATGAATTCTACAAGCAATTCATTAATAAACCAATTCTGCTTTGTGCTCCAGTTTCTACAATGTGAATGTTTCCCACCAAATATATTTTGGTTTGAAATTACATATCTTTAAGTGTAGCATTTTTAGATTAATAATATAAGTAGCAAAAATGTATAGTGATATATTCATTTTTACTCTTTTCAACCAATAGAAATTTTGCAAAAAATTATGCAAAAAATTTTGCAAAAAAAACACACTGTTCTTCAGTGGGATAACTATCTGAAAGCAGAATAGAAGTAAATCAAATTTAGTAAGGGGAAGTAGTTAGCAAAAGAAAGATCAAGTTGCAAAATAGGCCAGATCAGATCCTAGGTGTATAAATATCCTATCCTTTGTTTCCTACAACACATATGTATAATTCATAAGGGGAAATAACACACAAAATTACAAAACATACATTGTTATCTGTACGGTAGTCCAAGTTTTACAACTAGTTCACAACATCCCAAATTATGTCAGAAAGGGTGCTTTATGGCTTGTAAATAGAGTAGAATAGAATAGAATAGAATAGAATAGAATAGAATAGAATAGAATA